CAGCTGGGCCTCCCAGAGTGCTAAGATTAGAGGCATGAGCCACCATGCCCAGCCCCAGAAAGCACTATCATTCTTTAGGTTTCATAACAATCAATTATGAGGAGACATTCTAAAATCTTTTTTGAATTCAGTTTGTACTATCTATTTGATCTATAGCATATAGTGAATCCTTGCCATTGGCCCTTACATGATGACAAAATAATTTTCAACTTTTGACAGAGGCGATTTAAAATCTAAGATATTGCTTTTAAGGAAAAGGTAACTTTTGAAAATGAAGGATGAGGCTCGGCGCCTGTGGCTCAAGCGGCTAAGGCACCAGCCACATATACCTAAGGTGGCGGGTTCAAATCCAGCCGGGACCCGCCAAACAACAATAATAGCTGCAACCAAAAAATAGCTGGGCATTGTGGCAGGCGCCTGTGGTCCCAGCTACTTGGGAGGCTGAGGTAGGAGACTCGCTTGAGCCCAGGAGTTGGAGGTTGCTGTGAGCAGTGAAGCCATAGCACTCTACCCAGGGGGACAGCTTGAGGCTCTGTCTCAAAAAAAAAAAAAAAAAAAGAAAAAAGAAAAAGAAAATGAAGGATGAGAGAGAGGCTGCCCTCCTCTAAAGCTAATGAAGAGAAGAGTATTGTCAAAGGAATAGAGAAATAGATAAATAGAACATATTAAAGTATAATGAAACAATCTCATGAATAAATGAGTTTATGATTTTTTTTTTAAGAGAAAAAGGTCTTTCAAATAAGTCGGAAAAGATGGACTTTTCAGTTAATGCATTGGCAAAACAAGTTATCCCCATTTGAGGAAAAAAAAACAAATAGACCCCTGCCTCCGATCATTTACAAAATAAATTTCAGACAGGTTAAAATACTAACAATAGAAAGCATAACAATATTATGGGAAAATATATTATTCACTTGAGGATAGGAAACTCTTCTTCAATAAGATGTAAGAAAAAGCAAGAGATTTTGGAGAGCTTTTGAAACTATGAAGGATTTTAGTCTCTATTTTGAGATCATTAGAGAATTGACTGAAATATTTTAGCAAAGGAATTATGGGATCAAATTTGTTTTCAAAAGATGATGATTCTTTCAGCTATATGTGGGAGATGAAGGATAGCACAGCTATTCGTGCAGTTACTGGGGTAGTTTCAGCCAATAGGAGAGAAAATTGGTTTGGTCTAGAATGTTGGTGATGCAAAATGGAGACAAGTGCTAGATAATTCTAGAAATGTTTAGGAATTACGGTATGAAGTGGAGACAAAGGATAAGTATGAAATTAAGCAGCACCTAGACCTGGAAATGTCTTGAAGGATGGACTAATGATTTTGAACGTTTTAAAAGGCTATATGAGGAGCTAATAATGATGTGTATACTTGGAAGAGACACATTATATTTCTTTAGAGGAAATCCTCCGGAGAGGCGTGGCCAACCGCCTGAACCCAAGTGAAAAGCAGTGGTGGCCAATACCCTAAAGGAAGAGCTCAGAAGCCCAAGTTTTTCTCTGACTTTCTCCCACCTTCCTGTCTCTTGGTCTCTTTCTCCCCTGAGGCCAGCCATAGAAATTAGAATCCCTTTTCCCTAAGGTGGGTCATAAAAACTGGAATCCTTTCCCCTCAAAGCCAGCCAAAAACCTAAAAATAATACTTAAACTTTAACTCCACCTTTCTGTGCTAAAAGTGGCCATAAAGAAATTATCTGACCTACTTTGTTTGATGGGAGGTCATAAGATCTCCATTCCAGAGAGGATCCTGCCCTAATACCCAGAGGGAAGAAATGCACGCTCAAAGAACAATCCTGACCCATGTTCCTGGGTTTCCTCATTCAGTTTATTAGCAAGAGGTAATACCCTTTTTGTCCAGTCAGGTTTTGACAGGTTGCCCATACTTTGTTGTACATGAGGATAAAAACAGACAATCCTCTGCATCTTTGCATCTTTATTCTGAAGGCTTGTAAAGTTTATATGGCTTTTCTCTTATTAACCACCCTTTTGAGAGTTGACTTTTCAGGGAAGCTCAGAGGGCAAAGGGGAAGTTTTCCCTTGACTCCTACACCTGCTATGTTGTTTCTTCAAGAATCCTCCAGCCTGACTTCAGCAAGGATCCTATTAGGTTAGCTTCGACAGAATACTCCCTCATCCTGATGTTTCCTTTTAGTAATTTTTCATCCACCAATCTCTCCCTACTCTCCTGGCCCTGACCTTGGCTATAAATTCCTTCTTCTTCTTCTTTTTTTGTTTTTGCAGCTTTTGTCTGGGGCTGGGTTTGAACCCGCTACCTCCCCAGCATATGGGGCTGGCGCCCTCCCCTTTGAGCCACAGGTGTCAATTTTTTTTTTTTTTTTTGCATTTGGGGTTGAGCCCAATCTCTCTCCCCTATTGCAAAACCTCCTGGCAGTAGTCCCCTCTACCTACTGGGATAGACCTGATTAAATTCTGCCTTACCATGCTTTAGCAGGTGTCATTGGATGAGTTTTCTCTTCAACATTATCTCTGTCCCCGGAAGTACTGCCTCAATAAACCCCCTTTCTATATGTCCTTGTCTCAGATTCTGCACTTTGGGAGCAATAGAGATAACAGTATCTCTTCATTGTTTCTTATCTTGTAACATTGTACCAAGAGAAATCAACGAATGTTACTATCTGCTTTTGTTAAACTAAGTGTTAGAAACTTGCCCTTTCTGAGTGACACTACTGAAGTTTTGCAATTTTTAATTCCAAGTAGCCAAACAGGGAGAGAAAGAAAATACTTAGTAATTAGAAATAACTGTGAATATCTGTTTAAATAGGAAAAATATGTTATAGGGGAAAATTAGTACCATCTACAGATCAAAGAACAGCAAATATAAATTAAGCAGTGTCTGCACAAAAAAAGTACACCTTTGAGGCTGGGTGAGGTGGCTCACACTTGTAATCCTAGCACTCTGGGAATGCAGGCAGGTGGAGTGCCTGAGCTCTAGGTTCTAGACCTGGGTTCTAGACCAGCCTTAACTAAACTCCGACTCTAAAAACAGCTGAGTGTTTTGGCTGGAGCCTATAGTCTCAGCTACTGGGGAGGCTGAGGTAAGAGAATCACTTGAAGAGTTGAGGTTGCTGGAGTTATGATGCTAAGGCACTCTACCAAGGGCCACAAAGTGAGACTTTGTCTCAAAAAAAAAAAAAGTACACATTTGTTGTGTGATACATCAGTATTAAAACTCAGTTATGTTTCCTTTATTGTGCTGCAAAATTATCATAACCATTTACAATTATTGGTATTTTAAATGAGATAAATACTGTGTTTAGATTTCATTACTTGAATATTTAAGCAACAATTTTCTCCCTAGCTGTAAAATTTTTATATTACTGTTATTTATTGCTTTAATTTTATTTTTTCCTTTTCTTTTTTAGATTCAGGGCAGAATATTAAATTGGTTCATTATAACTGGAAGCCATGTTGCTAAATACTTAAGTTGTATATTAAAAATGTTTAGCCAAATCATTTTTTAAAATTTTGCAGTCCAATTATTAACATTTACACGCCATATTTCTTTGAAAAGTTTTTGTTATCATCTTTTTCATGTGTCACTACATTTTACACAAAGTTATTCCTCCTTTTCGTGGCCGGGAATCAAAACATGTATAATTGTGTCATAATAAGAGTTAAAAATTCATAAATTAATTTAGTATTTAATAGCAGCCTCTGAGAGCAAGCAACAAATACCATTAAATCTCAGATTCTTTTACTGCAAGTTATCTTTTATCTTTCAGCTGTCCATGATGAACAATTCTGCAAGAAAAGTGTAAGATTTTTAGGGTCTAGTCCTGTAGAACAAAAGGCAGGGATTTGGAAAAGACCCTTCATAACACTTTGGTTTTTGGTCTGCGTGTAAATTTGCAATTACACAGTTTATTACAGACCTAGAATTGGAAAGAAGGCCCGTAAGTTATTCTAGCAATCAGCAAAAATTTACCTAATTTAAACGTAATGTGTAATTATTTTTTCTCCTACTTACTGAAAACAATGGCAGATATGCTAAAGAGCAGGGCATATTCTTGAACTGTTAAGTGGTTTTTCGATTGCCACTATCTGGCCGGATCTTTGCGCCTGCAAGCAAGGCAAACACGACCTCTCCTTTTCCTTTTTCCCTTTGCAAAGTGAAACAGGCTAGACTCGTTCATGTGATGCCAGTGACGTCAGCCCCCTCCGGGTCGCGTGACCGACACCCAACCTTCCCACTACCCCGCCCCCACTGGCAGAGCGGGAAATCTCGCGAGAATCCGTCTTACTATCAGAATTTACAGAGCTTACCGAAGAGTTACTCCGAAGCGATGGGAAGGTGTGGCCGAGTGGCGGAGTTTTTGCTCTCATTCTGTTAATTCATAGCCAAAGTCAAAGCCATTGGGGATTGCCAGAGTCTAAGCCGCCCCGCTCAAAAAACAGCGGGAGAAGGGAGATGGACTGGGAGGTGACAATCAAATGAAGTGAAATGTGGCGCCCCGGCAGCCGTCGCCCCTTGCTAAAGCGGCTGCGGTGAAGGGTTGAACCCCCGCGCCAGATACCTGGGACCTGGCAGCGTGGCGAACACCAGTTCGGCTTTCCTGGGCCTCGACAGTAGCTGGAGGCTGTGGGAGGTTGGGACGCTAATCTGCAGCAGACAACTGCCCACATCCGGCCCCTGCACTGTCAACCTTGAGCGGCACGAGATGAAGTGGCTGCGCCCCTCGCTCTGCTCCACCGGGTAGCGTGGCCCCGGAGCCGGCCTAGAGAGGTCCCAGTGTCCCGTGCCCAAATAGGGGCGTGGACTGGCCCTAGCCCTGGCTCCCCTGGCCCTTGGCCGCAGCTCTGGGGCATCCACGAGTTGCCCCGCATTTTCCCGCTTTATCAGCCCCAGATTTGGGCAGGATCCTTTCTGCGGGTTTGATGTTTTCGCCTCATTCGCCTAAACTCTTTTCAAGCTTCTTTCCCACACATCATTCACCTTCCACCTGGTTTCTCCCTAGACGGGTGTGCTTATGTGTGAGACCAAAGGAGGGAGAGCGATCCGTGGAGGGACAGGGTTGGAGTCGCTAGAGGGAGGTGTGGGACCAGCGAGGAGGGGGCTGCGCGAGGGAGGGGGTGCTGGCGGCGGAGGGAGCGGCAGGAGGAGGCGCCGGGGGAGGAGACGGAGGGCCGGGGACGAAGAGGAGGTTTCGCCCGAGCCGAGCGCTCTTTCTGTCGCCGCGCCGTCTTGAAGCCGCGCGGGCTAGTGGGGAGTGCCAGGCCGCCGAAGTGCCTGGCCCTGCCAGCGCCGCCGCTGCCCACCGGAGGGAGGCCCGCCCCGGGCGCGCACGCCGGCCGGAGCCCCGGCGCGCCCCTTGCCCCTGCCTGCTGCCGCTGCCTGCTGACAGCTGCCGCTGGGCTCCAACCGTCCTGTCCGCTCCGGGCTCTGCGGCCTCGGCTCCTCTGCACGCTGCCGCTGTCCCCTCAGGCTCCCTCCCCTCTGCGTCCACCCCTCCTGCCCGAGTGCCGATCATTTCGCAATTGCTCGCTGCTCGCCCCGTGCCCGGCTGTTTTTCCGTTTCCCGGGTCCCTCTTCTTGAGTACTTTGCCCCCTACATTTGGGGAGAGGGGCTAGAAAAGGGGCGGGTGGCACGTCCTGAAGAGAAAGCGAGGCCCGCAGGAGGAGGAGGAGGAGGCTCGGCGGACTGTGGGGAGGAGACCCCACGCCACCCTTGCTGGTCATCTCCCCTCCCGCCCCGCCCCTGCGCACACTCCCTCGCGGGCGAGCTACTTTCGGACGAGGAAAGTGAGGGCGGCACTGGGTGACAGCGCCGCGGGGCCAGTCCCGGGGTTGGTCGCGCGTCTGCTAGCTTCTCGTCGGTCGCGCTCCCAGCCAGGGCACAGCCCGGACCGAGGATGGCTTCGACCACAACCTGCACCAGGTTCACGGACGAGTATCAGCTTTTCGAGGAGCTCGGAAAGTAAGCGCCTTTGCTCGGCATCTGCGCGTCCCCTTTTCCAGCAGAGGGCGGGTTAGGTTGCCCCTGACCCACCGGCCTCGGTCGTGGGGCGAGGGAGTTTGAAAGACCAGAGGGGAGCGAAGGGGCCCACGGTTTGTCAGCTCTGGGGAAGGTGCTGTGTTAGTAAGGGGAGGAAACAGAAAGGGAAGGACCCTTACCTCGACTGTGGCCCTTTCTGATAATCCCCCTTCTTTGGCTCCCCAACCCTCTGGCACCGAGAGACTTAGTAAATTTATGGTCTCTGCAGTTGTAGCTGTCATCCTGAGAAGTGTGCGTGCGTGAGCGCGTGTGGATGTGTGTTTGGCAAGGAAACTAGAACCCATGTAAAATGCAACATAGATCATGTTTTCTGTAAATAGAGATGCCTCCTGCTTAGCCGGCGTGTCGGCGGTATGACCCACGTACGGATGAGAACTCACTGCCTCAGACGGTGCCATATTTATTGATGCCGAAAGTTCAACTTGGCGCAGAGTCCATTTCGCATCTAGTAGTTGTTCTGTCCAGGAAAAGGGCCACCTAACAGAACCCGACCCCTGCCCCGTACGCACTATGATTCTTTGCACTAGATTACTCCCTCACCGTCATTCTTTCTGGGATTTACGCGTGCACCTTTGCGTTCTCAGAGGATTTATTTATATAGGCAGCGGAAAAAAGCTCTCGGGAGACTGGGAGAGCGCTTCCCAAGGGTAGCCTAGCGTTGTATAAAACCACCCCCTGCTCTCGGCTGGGCAGAACTACCTGGAGATGTTCAGGAAGGAGACAAGAGACCTACTGAGGACCTGTGCAGAGGGACCTGGGGGCCGAGCCATGAACGTGGATTTATGTAGCATCAATCCCAAAGCCAATTCTTCTATTGCTAGTTTGGGCTCTTACTTATGAAAGGGGTGCGCTTATGTGTATGTTGTGGGTTTATGCGGATGAATTACAGGACATGTACACATTTTTAAATGGAATGAAAATTATATATTTATATATTGTCTACGGTTAAAACATGGAGAATATGTCGGAAGATCAGCTTAATTCAAATCTCTCCCCTCCCCCAGCCCAAGCGGTACATAGAGAAATCACCATACCAGTATGTGTTGAAAACACACAAACGTGCTCAAGATTTATATTTTAATGAAAGTAATTGTCGTGTTTACTTACTTGGAGGCACATTAATTGTTTTTCCCTGCTGAAATAATGGGCAGCAGATTTTTTGCTGCTGCTCCTCAGCTCTGCTCTTTGCAGGATTTTTCTCAGCATTTGGTGCTGTGTGAGTGTGAATTGTAAAATGTTTTCAAATTTCTTAGGCAAACAAGAGCAGTCATAATTAGCAGTTCCTTTCATTTCGTTGATTAATCATGTGTGCTCCCAGTTAAATAAAATTTACTTTTATTCTTCAACATTAAAGAAGGCCTAGGTTCTCGGGAAGAGTCCTTCATTTTCTGGATGTTACTGTAGTACACTTGATAATTCGACAGTTCACTAAAATCACTTAAAATGCTCACATTTTGGAAATTGTTAGTGTAATACCAGATCTGATCGTATTGATGACTTGCTAATTATTGGTTTCCAGGGGGGCATTCTCAGTGGTGAGAAGATGTATGAAAATCTCTACGGGACAAGAATATGCTGCCAAAATTATCAACACCAAAAAGCTTTCGGCTAGGGGTGGGTATTTTTAACCACATATATGTTAATTTTGTATTTATCGTGTTGGTTCTGTTGTTGGTAAATATATCATGTAGTTATTCAATTTTAGACTTAGGTATCATATTACATATTAAGATTATTTCCTTCCTGAATGCTTCTTGGGCTGTCCAGTTTAGAAATACATGAGCAAATATAATTATTATTGAATAAATTGTTATTAAAATTCTATCTGCCCCATGAGCAGTAGCATAAATCACTGTATTTTAAAGCAAATAATCATCATTTAAGTGCATTTTGCTTTTAGCTCTGGTGTAAAATAACTTTTAGAAGTACATAGGCATGGAAAAATATAAGTCTCACAACTGTCATAATTCCCTTTTGCTTTTGAGAAGAAAATGGGTCACAGCTCAGTTGAATCATATGTTTCAATTGTAGTTACACTTGAACTTAATTCATCAAGGTATATTTAACAGTAATGGCTTTGAGAAGAAAAAACTTAGGATTGTTATATTCTAGGAAGTTAAGCTTGATTTTGATGTTTCTGTGTGTAGTTCAGACCTTTACTTGGTCTTCTGCATTAAGGCTTTACACAGATTCATGTAATGTTTTTTACACATGCAGTTATAGCCACAGAAATAATTCATACTCATAAAGTAGCTGTTGACATAAGCAAAAAACTTGGAGGGATCTCACTGCATTCTTTCTATTTTGTTGAATTCATGTAAAAGTACTTATACTGCTATGTGAGGCATTCCAATTATTGTGGACACGTGTCTAAGGTATTTCCATGGGAATTTATGGTTTGATGAAATAAAAATGAAATTAAAATGAACAAAATATCACAGTGTAAACCCATCTCAGTGACCTGGTTTATTTTAAGTAATGAGAAAAGAAATTCCATTTGGGTTAGTTTTCCTCGTTCAATATGTCTGTTTAGAAGTTCTTCCTGGCGTACTGGCATCATTGCTTTTTGGTCTCTGCTGTGATTGGTTTTCTATATTTATTGCAAATTCTGTTTTTAACCTACACTTTAGGTTTAGGTTGGCATTTCAGCTTATTCGTTTGAATGGCATTTTCTTGTAATTTCCTTCATCTGATTTTAATGTGATTCTAAGGAAGATCTATATGCTGAAATAACCAGCACCCTTGAATCATGGTATGAAAACTAATGAGAAACGTGTTATGCGAATCAAGCTCCCATGTTAGTCTCTACTCCACAGGAAGGTTTTGAGAATGAAAGGAGTTGTTAAAGTGTAAATGACATTTTACTCAATAAAAAAGAAAAGAAAGAAAAAGAGAAATGCAAATGTGTAGTCAGATTCTTTCAGTGCTTATATTGCTTCCTCCTGTGTGCTAGGTACTTTGGCAATGATGTGAGCCTGGCTTCTTTCGGGAATGTTACAACACCTATTTCACATCTTTCAGCGATTTGACATTTACACTCCAATCAGTCTAGTGGTTCAATTTTTTACTAACTTCCTCTGTTACAGTTATCCCTCTTCACTCATCCTAGTTCCTACTCCGTACACCAAGATGACAGATACACTCCCACCTGTTCAGATACATTTTACTCTTTTTGGCCTTCAGTCTGTGTTTAGGGTCAGTCTTCTCCAGTCTGATGGCCTTTTTTCCTCCCTGACCACTTCCCATTTCCCACTTTCTCAATGTTGACTGTGTTCACCTGTTCATACTCTATTTCAAAGAACCAGAGTTCTTTCTGCTGCCACACCAAGCCTTCTTTTCCCTTCTGGATTTATTGATTGTAATTACTCCACATTTGGGACAAGTAGTTAGGGTGAAGGGTTAGAAGACAGGCTTTTCCTTCCTTCCCTGCAATGTTTTTGCTGGTGTCTTTAGGATATTTGTACCTTCGAATGTGTAATGACATCTATACTCATGTCAAATTATAATTCTTGAAGAAAAAATACCATGCTTTCATTTTTTGATATGACATCCCACATATCGAAAAGGACACAGAAGAGGCTCAGCGCAAGGTGCTTTGTAAAGGAGTTAAGTACAGAATTTACTTTAAGAACAAGCAAATACTAAAAATAATCTGTTGTGTATTAAGAGCGTTTACTTTAAAATAAGAATTCTTTTAACAACACTTCTTTCTGAGAATCTAATGATCCAAATAAGTCATTTTTACAGCATAATTAAAAAATAATGAGTATATTCAAAGGAACTATAGAATGAAATGCAAAATAGCATGTTTATTTTTTACGAAGGTAATAATTTTTGAGAGTGGTGTACAGCAGTTTTGTGGAACATGTAATATTTTGTGCAAATTTTTGTTTGTATTATTGGAAATTCTATGCATAGGTAACTCTACGCCTTAAGCCTACTTGTTTTAAAGACCAGGCAGGTCCTTCAACTCAACTGATGTCTTTAAATATAACATTACAACTGGAAAAGAAAGGGCCATTGTTAATTAATCTAAGACCAGGAGGGAATTACCAAAAATTTGGCTACATTCCTGCATAAATTTGCACATCCAACTATACTGTCACCCAGGCATTTCTCTGTGCCTAGATTTTAAGGATTTCCAGCAGACAGTTTTAGTTGCTTGTCCTCTCAGCTGTTAGTCACATACACCATATTTGGGGAACTCAGAGTCAATTGAAGAATTTCTCACCTTTTGTGTTAGCCTGTGCGTGCACAGAAAGAACATTCATTTTATGGTACTCAGCAGGTAGATACGTACATTCATCATATATAATGTGGCTTCTGTGAAAATAAAAAACAGTATAGAAATATTCCAGACATTTGGTATTATAAACATATATGTAATTTACGTCTTCTATAAAGTTATTTTGTTACATAGGAATAGAGAGCATGCTTAATAAATGGTGAATCATGATAATAGAATGCTTGCCTCATGTTTTCATCTTGAGAGTTAGAAATGATCCCATTTGGATCCCAAACATTTTGTTAGGTTAGTCCTTAACAGATGTCAGTTTGCTCTGCTGTTTCAATATTCTGTCTATTTTGACATGTGTAGAACTGTAAGCAGCTTTGTCACAGTATATGAAGTCAGTGAAGAGCTGTGATCACAGCGTAGAATCCACAACTGATGGCTCTGAGAGCAGCTGTTTTAAGAAATAGTCCAAGTGATTTATCTTATATTTTGAAGCCTCCCAGAGGTAAAATATTCTCTGTGGTAATAATGGTTTCTTGACATTCATCTTCCAGTGTCTTCTCTTTTTTGTTCTTTCTTCTTCTCTTTGCTTTTCTTTTTTCCTTTTTTTTTTTTTTTTGAGACCAAGTCTCCCTCTGCCACCCTGAATAGTTTCCTTGTGTCATCATATCTCACAGCAGCCTCAAACTCCTGGGTTCAATTGATCCTTTTGCCTCAGCCTCTTGAATAGCTAGAACTACAGGCATCCACCACACCATCTGGCTAGTGGCTAGTTTTTCTATTTTTATTAGAGAGGAGTCTGGTTCTTGCTCAGGCTTGTCTTGAACTCCTGAGCTCAAGCAATCCACCTGCCTCCCAGAGTGCTAGGAATACAGGTGGGGTAACTGCACTGAGCCTCTTGTATATTTCTTGATCATTAGAAACTAGTTATTATAACACAGAATCTGGGACAAGTCACTGTTTTCATAAAATAGAATATATTACAATATAAACTTGAAAAAGGTATGTTGTTTACAACTATATTTTATCTCTTCTACATTGCCAAAGTTGAAAGGGGCTTCATTTTATATTTCTGTAAAACTTCAAATATAATGCAGTTAAATCATTTTGATATTCTTTGATTTTATTAGTTGTGTTCATTCCTGAATTCTTGATATTAGTAGAAAATGAATCACGACTTTATACAACTTGACCATATATACAAAATTAAGTCTCAGCCATGAAAAATCTAAGTGTTCTATAACTATCCCTAAGTAATCTTTTTCTTTTTAATGTCATAAAAGACATGTCAAAAACTAACTTTTATTACTTTTTTTTTTTGCATCCAGGTAGGCAAGACATTACTGTAATTGTTCAACTTCATAGTTATTTGTCCTGAATTGGAAATAGAATTGAAACCATATAGATGAAACAAATTGTTCTGAATATTGGTTTAACAATTTGAAAAATTTTAGACAAATGAATATATGAAAGTTTCTTGGCTAGAATCACGTTTTTAAGAAGGAATTGGTAAATCATTTTTAGTTTTGCACGTGGAATCTCCACAATCCTTCGTTTTGGGGGCATGGACAGGGCATGTGTCATCCTTGCTGTTTTGTGTCCTTTACTTACATTTAGTCATATTTACGTTCTTACTTAAGCCTTGATATTGGATGTTTATTTTCTTGTTTTGGTAAATGGGAATATTATTGGTATTTAAAACCAGTTAGGAGACAAAAATAATAAAAATGTATATCCACATTTCCGGAATAATAAAAACCTATTCTGTATTCTGGCCTCATTAAGACCAACCTAACAAAGAATGTGGTGATCAGATACCTCACTGTGATATGTAAAGTGAGTATCAGACTCCACTGGACCGTGTGAGATGAGGACCCAGAAACCTTTGAGTGTTTATACAATTAGATTAATACTTTCCATTTCTATTGAAATATTGGATAAAAATATAAAAATTAAAATTTCATAGTAAATTTCCCATTTATGGGACCTTTTAATGTCAATAATTATTAATTACTAGAAATCACATGTTTACTAGGTTTTACTTGGGGATTTAACTTGTTTTGTTAACTAGAATTTTAATTTTTTTTTTTTTTTTTGGAGACTGAGTCTCACTTTGTCACTGTCAATAGATTGCCACGGTGCTCACAGCAACCTCAAACTCTTGGACTCTAGAGATTCTCTTGCTTCAGCCACCATAGTAGCTGGGACTACAGGTGCCCACCACTATGGTTGGCTATTTTTAGAGATGAGGTCTCCCTCTGGCTCAGGCTGGTCTCCAGTCTGTGAGCTCAGGCAGTCCACCTGCCTTGGCTTCCTAGAGTGCTAGGATTACAGGCATGAGCCACTGCGCCTGGCCTAGAATTTTAATTTATTTTTAAAA